ATCTAATCTAATCTAATCTACCTACCTACCTATCTACCATCTGACCGATATTTGGGGCTATAGATCCCGTAAGGCCGGGAAATGCGTCTCAGAACTGGGGATTATAGAATTGCACGTAATACGACGTCACCCGAAAGGCTGAGCTCTATAAACCACCGGAATACACCAAGCTTCTCTCTGGCCTCTACTCACAAGGCCATCTCGGCTTCCATTTCCTTCAGTCTCTCCTCGCCGCTTTTCGCGCCTCCCGCCGCCGCCACGGTCCCTGGCCCAAGAGCCCCTCCCGGTACCCCAGGGGGGGCTCCGGGCGGCGGGGGCGGCGGCGGGGGCATCGCGGGAGCCGCCATGGCTCGACTTCTTCAGTCCGGCCCGGTTACTCTAGTAGCGTCGGACGCCCACTCCCTCTTCTTTCCGGCGCACACTTAAGTGGTCACAGGATAACTTCCGGAGTTTCTTTCGCTTTCTAGCGGAAAACCGTAAGCCCTTCCTAGAGCGTACTTCCGGTTTAGGAAGAAAGGCTCTCCGACTCTATGAGCTGGGTGGTGACTTGTCACCTAAATAGAATAGAGTTGGAGGTCTTCTAGTCCTTAAGCAAGAAAACCTATGCCATTTGAAATAAGTGGCTGTCAAACTCTCCCTAAAAACCTCCAGATAAAGCACCCACAATTTCTGGAGGCAAACAGTTCCACTGGTTAATCGTCCTCAGTGTTAGGAAGTTTCTCCTTAATTCCAGATTGCTTCTCTCTTTGATTCGTTTCTAACCATTGCTTCTTGGCCTACACTCTGGAGCTTGGAGAATAAGTTGATCCCCCACTTCTTTGTGGCAGCCCCTCAAATACTGAAATTCTGTTATGCTGCCCCTAATTCTTCTTTTCTTTAGACTAGCCAAACCCAAATTCTGCAGCCGTTCTTCGTATGCTTCACACTTGGCTTGAATGAACAATAGTGTCATTTCACAGATCCGTATTTGAGGTCAACGAGCACAAAACCTGTTAACTATCTTGCAACTCCTGGCATTCCCTTTCCTTTTTGTTTGCAGAAAGACTCCTTTGCAAAGCAGAAGCAGATCTATCAAGATTGCCATCCATGAAAAGGGGTGATCCCCTCACAGCCAGACAACTGCAAGTCAAATCTGGTTTTATACTAGGAAAACTGATGAATTACCATTAGGTTACTTTAACTTTTATATTATACTGATATTAATGTCAGAAATGTGTAGTTTATCTTTTTGGAAAAACCACTATTTTTGTTTACCTAATGAAAGGATGAAATCTGTGTTACTATAGCACAGGGGTCCCCAAATTTGGCAACTTTTAACAGCAGAACTTTTAGCAGAACTGGCTGGGAGTTGAAGTCCACAAGTCTTAAAGTTGCCAAGTTTGAAGACCTTTGCTATAGCAGGTATTTTACTTTTGCTGACTATATTCTAGAGGTGTTATTAGTAAAAAAAAATGACTATTGATAAACATAAAACATAAGGTAGATTTCTTTCTTAGTCTTTATTTGTAGTTTGTTTGGGGTTGTCTCTTCTAATTTTTAAAGTGTTTTTTTTTAAGTTTGAAAATGGTTTTAAATTGTGTTAAGAAAGCTAAACAAAAACATTTCCTTAAAAAAATACTTACTAAATAAATACATACTAAAAAAAATATTGATTCCAAAGTATTTGCTTTCCTGGCTACATTATTTCAAACTGATAACATATGGAATATGATTTCACTGCATATATTAGAAAAATAATTTGCATGATTGATAGGACATCCGATGGCATCATGCACGTATATCATTTGCATTGCAACACAGATGCCTCTTGATTCCTAGTAGATTTAAGAGTATGTACAACACACAAAATGTCAAACACAGCACCCAAACACCACTTTTTTCCCTTAGAAAGATACATAGGAGCGTATTCTCACTTAACGCTGTTTAAAGCATACAGGCTCCTCTCCATAAAGCAGAATGGTTAGGTAAGTCTGCTCAACAGTTAGCTTGGCACAATGTGTGTGAGCCCTCGTGATATCTGATGCCCTTTTCAAGATCAGATCTTTATCTGTTCACTGGCTGCCTATGATAAGAAGAGGTGGCATATGAGGCTATTCAAATATGTTGAAATCAAGGCAATCTCCCCAAGGGGATTTTTCATGTGGCACTTGCTTAGCCCAGAACATGGGATTAGTAACTGAGAAATGACCAGATGTGAGAAGGCTGACCCTGGCATAATAAGCCCTGTTATCAATATACAAGCATATAAAGTTTCCCATGTAAATATAAGCTGTTTAACCCAATGAATGGAAAGGATTATATCTTGTCAAAAGGCACTCAGTGAGAAAGTACAAACATATACCATAGTAATGACATCTGTCCCATTATTTTGAGAACGTTACCATAGATAAGGCACGTGGTAGTATATATTCATGAGTCATTAACAGAGTCAGCAGGACAAACATAGGCATGGGTATTATGCATTTTATTAGAACGGGTAATATCCAAGATTTTGTACTATTAAATGATTCAGGTGCTCAAGCAGACAAGAGCCATTTCAGACAATCCTTCAGATGCACCACACGGAAAGGACTCAGCAGCACAACTTCCTGAGTAGGGGAGCTACTGGTAGTCAAAAAGACCCCTCAGATTTTGCCCGGAAAACTGCCATTTTCCCGACATTCATCCCAGCTGTCAACCTGTAAAAAACCAAGACATTACTTTGGATCACTGTTTCTCAATTAAGAGTTACGTCATTAACTCTTCCACACACTTCTCAATTGTGTCCTGAAGGAGAGGGATAAGAAGTATTTTGAATACAATTCTGAATGGAGTTTTTTTTGATGGCATGCAAATTGAGGAGTTGTAATCAAGTGTTTTCCCAGATGTACTGGAACTACAACACCTATGATTAATGGCCAGGGATTCTAGAGTTTTATTCCGAAGTATTTGGGCCATCAGATTAGCTGACCCTTCATGGCTGAAGCAGAAGAGATCTTTTACTGAATGTCTTTCTTAGTCTCCAACTGGTTTCTTGTACAAAAATGCTTTAGCCAGAATTATATAATTTACTTACCCAAAAAGAAGGGCACAGGGATGAGTATACTTTTTTATACCACTGGCAGACATAGGGATCACTGCCTTTGGCATTCATGGCTTTCTCACAGCGATGGAAATCTGCCAGGAGGAGGAGGGAAAAACATTTCAAGCCAATGACGGAACCAAACGCATCTAATCTGCGCACAAACGCACAACCCAAGAGTCCTTAAAACAGAATCGTGTGTAAGCCTGCAGAATCTACAAGTCTGTGTATTGTCCAACACCTGGATCTCCAAAATAAAAGAACCTTGCTGTACCCACCATTCCACCCTCCAACATATCCAAATATATATAATAATGATAATGATGATGATGATACATCATCAAACTTAGTGTTTTCTCGATCTCCAATCAGTTGTTGCTACGGAAAAAGTTAGTGGGGATTCAATATTGTGTTATACCAGGGGTGTCAAAGTCTATTTCCTTGAGGTCAACATCAGGGTTGTTTTTGACCTTGGGGAGCTGGGGTGGGTGTGGCCAGCTCAACGTCAATCATGTCAAGGGCGCCTGTGGTGGTCCGAGCACTCTGCCAGTGAAAATGGGCTCCTGAGCTCCGTTTCCGAGTGCGACAGCCTCCTGCAACCCTCTGCCAGCGAAAATGGAGCTCAGGAGGACCGGCTGCAGCCCTTCCGAGCTCCGTTTTCAGTGGCAGAGACACCATGGGCAGGTCCTTCGCTGTTTCCAGGGTGGTCCCATGGGCCAAATCTAAGCACCCCATGGGCACTTGATCTCACTACTGGAGCGACTCTGATATGCAAGATAAACAGAGTGTTTTTCACAAGGCTGAGGAGGTGGTTTTTTTTAACGCTATCAGGATAGTAACTATAACCCAAGTCAAAAATGTTCACAAGAAAAATGGCAGAGAAAAAAGAAAATGTGTTGTGTTAAACACTAAAAAAAACAATTCGTTATAGCCAAGGAAATTATTCTTCATCATGTAACTAGTGTTTTTTAAATATAGGAGGAAGAGACAGCAATATCATTTTTATGCTTAAACTTTCCGTAAATAATACATTATTTCCATAAATAATGCATTATTTTTACTTCAATAGAGAAAAATATGACTTTTTATAAAGATTTCAGAATAATATGATGTCTTTTTTTCTGATCCCTGACGCAGAAACGCATTCACATGCATCAATTATACTAACCAAGGTAGTTCTGCCAGCAGCCTCGTGTTTGATTTTGATTGGGGAACCTACTGTCAAACGGAGCAGTTTTGTAGTTCTCTATGTTGCGTCTTATGGCTTCAGACATCCTTTTTTTTTCTGAAAATAGATGTAAAATCAGGAAATTGATATATCCTGGTGCTTCAAAATGTCAACTATTAGAAGACGTTTCCCTAGGAAAAAGATCAAGTTTTCCCTATGGCAATTTTATCCCCCAAAGCATTTGATATTGGATTCTCATAGATATTATATTCTAAGTAGAATCCTGGTTATGAATCAATGTCTACTCCCAATTGTACACCTTCTTACTGTCTAGTGATCCCTTCCTCTACAATGAATGTAAATATGAACATTAATTCTCTCCTTACTAACTATGTCAGTTAGTGAGAAGTTGGAGTTGGAGTAAGCATTCCAAAGGAAGGTGGGGAAGGGGCTGTACAATCTACCCTTTTGCTTGGCTTCCTCGAAAGTCACGTTTTAGAAACCTTTCTCAGCCTTTGGCCTCACCCAGCTCTTTGGGATAGTATTCTTTGGACACTGTAAAACAAAGGAAAGCTAAATAAAATCATTAGCACATTTGTGATTACAGGAATGAACTTAGTGACAGCTTAAACAGTTGAGTTGCCTGGTTAGGACTGTCAAAGACTACTGGTACAGTCCATTCCTCCTATCTGCGATCAGTGAACCAGAAATTAAATCTTCTGTTCGCATCAGCTATAGAAATATGTCTGGAACTCCTTCCTGATAAATAGAAGAAAACCTTGATACCTTTATCAGTGACCAACACCTATTTTAATCTAATATATTAATATGCCTCTCCCTTTTTAAAAATCCTTCTGATAAGAGACTGGAGATATGGTTTATATATGTGTATACACACACACACATATAATGGCATAAATAAGGCCTTGGAATGCTCACATGTCAAGAATTTGGAAGCAGATACTTTATTCTGCAGTTCTACTTGCTGGCTTCTGCCCAAAATGATAAAAAAAATGGCTAGTAGGATAATCAGAT